GCATGTACTTAACGTTCGGTGTGAGTTCCGAGTTGCAAAGGCTTCAATCAACGTGCCGTCGCCCGGGGCCTATCCGATATCAGACATTAGGTACCCACGGCTCCGGCTACGTACTTTAACTCTTTCACGTTCCGACGCCCACGAGCGTGGCCTGGCGAGGCAGCGGTGCTGCGCTTCTTTCGTTCATGGGCACGACGTAGAGCCCCGGTCTCGAGGAAACGGACCCAAACGCGATGTTTAACCCCTCGAAGGTGGCCTTCGCGCGGCTACAATCCGGTAAGACGAATTTTTTGGATAGAGGTGTCCGTCGAGGATCTTATTTAAAGGGATGCGAGTGATCTACAAGATTAAGCATAATTTTGTGAATAATTTACAAAAGTATACAGGTATGCTCTGATATTTTTTTCGAGACTATGATTCTTCTTTGTGATAATTTGTAATAATTTGTCGAAAGTCTCTGTTGGGAGTAAGATATCGTTTAAAGGAATGTGATATTTTCGAAATTTAAATCGAGGATAGTGTCACTTTGTGGATAATTTAATTCGAGAGATACCTTGTCTTGGATTTTTGTTAAAAATTGATTAAATCATTTAATAGCGTAATAGCGTAAATAATTTAAAATTATCATTTGGAAAATATTAAAATTGATAAGGTAAATAAGGGATAAAAATATAACTTCGAATCTAAATAACATAATATACATGACATATTATATCATTTGTTACAAGAGAATTTAATATAGATATTTAATAAATGATACAAATAATATTTTTCATTTTTTATAAGTAATTCTAATATATAAATTTTAGTATTGTATATTTTGTGCATAAAGATGAATCAAATAAAAGAAAAAAAAAAAGTGTAATCAGTCTGCATAAGATCTGGAGAAAGTGTGAGTTATGCGTTGAAGAATGTCTCTGAGCACGTATAAGGCTTGGTATGCAAGATAAAGATTTATTGCGTTCGATATTTCATTCTGTATCATTATGCTGGAAGTAATGAAAAGTATGTTGCAAGAAAAAATAAAGTAATATATTTCAGATATTTCTTTTAATTAAAGGTTCAGTTTCTGATTGCTCGATAAACTTGTAAAAAACGAACATAATTTGCGAAAGGTATTCGGCATTAAATATAAATATAACTACTGGAGAAAAACTTGATAAGTCACGTTCTAATTTTTAAATTTGAACTTGTCGAGTTTATACTGTAGATATACATTTACAATTATAATTCAAATCATTAGATTTGAATTTTTTACATATAAAACATTTCATTTTAATTATTAGATAGACAAAAACAATCAATAAAAATAGATTATTATATCTTTATTTTTTATTGAAATCAAAGTTATTTCTCCTATTAGATTATATGGATAAAAAAAACTGTTTTCATCGTAGATATAGATTTTTCATTTATAATTCTAAAATTAATGAGTATTGTTAAATTTTTTATCATTAAAACATAAACATATCTATCCACTTAAAATATATATATTTCGAAAATTGTTATATTTTTTCTAGAATAATTATTTGATCAAAATCATACTTATATATCAAAGAATATGTTATTAATAGAATGTAAATAATCAGTATTTTATTCTTCAGGATACGTAAATTGTTGAAATTTATCACATTGAATTGCTTTTAAATTAAGTTACTCAACATTATATTTCAAATGAAGTCTGCATGATTTGCTAAATGGAACCATTTACATCTTTCAATAACTACATTCTCTGTGAAAGGAATAATGCAGTTTTCTTTCTATGATATTCACAGCTATTATAGCAATTACAAAAATTTGAAAATCAATCAGAGATTATTAATTTGCAATTTTTTCATTTAAAAAGATTATTTTCATTTAATATGGTAAAAAAAATAGTTTGCCATTCTACGTGGAATTTAACCCAATAATCAATTTTAATTTCGATTTTAAGATACATATATATATATTTGTTCGTGTTATAATTTTTCCATCCAATACTTAAAATTATATATAATAACTTAGACTGTAGATATTTACATCAATGCAAAAATATTTTTGTAAATTCAAATAACAAACAGTTTTTGAAAATATTTTATTAACTCAGAGCCAATTGGAATAAAATCTCAAATATTTGTTGCATCAAGAAAGGATAAAACTTAAAAAAAAGAAGTATCATTACCTCTAAACGATTTTTTTTGTTGTAGTTTGAACTATATTCAAAATAATGATAAAATAACAACAACAATATCTTTTACGATTTCCATAATAATAATAACAACAATTGAACTCGTAATGGAGATCGAAGTGATGAACGCGCATGCGCCTACTTCACGCGCGTTTATTCGAAACCTTTGATCGCTTCCGATGGAAAATAATAGCCGAAACTCTGGCCCGAATTAATTCACGCTTTCGCGGACTCAAATTAAACGTTTTGCGTAACTCGAAGATGAAATGCGTTCGAAAAAGATCACTTAAAGCGTGGAAGGGAAAAAAAGACAAAACGGGCGCGAGAGGATAATTCACTCAAAGCGCATCGTAAAGCTATTAACATCGGCTGTAAAAATTCTGTCTGCTCTTTGAAAAGAAGACTGACGTCGATATGTTCGCAAAATATAAATGATAATATTGTTGATCATTGTTTGTGCAATGATTTATTCTTGTTCGTCAAATAAATAGTTATTTAAGACTATCTTTTGAATTAACTCGATTTATTTCAATTTTAGTAATATGAATTGTTTTAAAAATTATTAAAAATTAAATATTTAATAAATTATTAAATATTTAATAGACATTTTTAAATAGATTAAAGGATTGTTAAAGAAGAGAAGTATTAAGAGTTTTTATTGAATCGTGAATTTTTGTATATAGGTACAATATGAATACATAAAATATAGGTATTTAACTAATATGAAAAAAATATGTAAAGAAACAACATACAGTGCTCGATAAGTAAAACAAATTTCTATTTACGTTTACAAAAAAATAAATTTTAATCTAATATTTGTATATGAAAGTGACAAAAGTGAAATAAAATCGCTTTTTACATTTTAGATTTATATATTCTTATTAGATTTATATATTCAAATTATTTAAGAATTAATTTGAATACTTATAAATAATGAATATACATTACTACGTTATGTAATTTGAATGGATGCATATAACTAAATATAAAAAAAATCTCACGTGATGGAGATAAGTAGATAAAAAATTATTTATCATCTATTAAAATTCAAAAATGAATAATGATTTAATTATTCTTTTATTAAAACTTCATAAATATTCATACCCTTCAATTCATCATATCAATACCTTTTATGATTTATTAATTTTATCACTATAATTTGTGTCTTTGACTAATTTTTAATTATTTATGTTATTTTTTTTTGTCATTTCTATTTTTATTATAATTTTAATAATTTATACTTTAATATTATATAGGTATAATATTATATAGTTGAAAAATCAATCTTAAAATATTAGTAAGAAAGAATTTTTTATAATTAATATATATTAATAATATTATTTTAATATTTTTAAAATAGTGAATTATTTATTTATTTTCAAATTACATCAGTCAAATTATGGTATTTATAGAAAATAAATTCTACGAAATAAATATAAAATTTAGATGTTACACAAAATACATCATGCGATTAAGTATTTTTGATATTCTTTGTGTTATTGCTATTACATTATCGCATAAATATAATTTTTTATCATCGAACGATATAAAATATTATACGTTGAAAATGATAAATGAAGATGAATAAAATGATGAGCGACGGATCTCTCATCCGATTTTCGCACCTCTGATTTTGTATACATTATCATGGTTTTTATATCAAATGCAATAATTTACCTTCACTTCATAAATATTTAATGATTCACAGACTTCGCTATTTTATTATTTTGTTTGTTTTTCGAAAAAAATAATATCTATTTAAATAGACAACTTAATATAACTATTATAACAAGAATAAATGAGTATATGATATAATAAATATTTTCTATAATATATATAATCATTAAATAAAGTATAATGCAAAAAATTATATGTAATTTTTATAAATATTTAATAATTATAATTATGAAACTTTTTGCAAGTTAATGAACAATCTTATCGTTCCAAAAAAATATATTAAGAAATATTGTTAATAAATTTTCTATTATTGAACGATAAATTTATGTTGAATATCAATATTATTAATAATTTCGATAATAAATTTTAAGGAAAAAAAATAAACTTCTCCAAAATAAAAGAAAAACAAAACAGAAATGTATAAATTAATTCTTCCTGTACATGTGTTAAGTAAATAGAATTTTATAAAATTAAATAACAAATATTTATTCGTTAATAGGTGTCTAGCGAGTAAAAAGCCTTTCTACTGACGTTGCGTCGGACAGCCTTCAATCGTAGGCGTTCATCCGACGGTATATTCCATTAGAAACAACATTGCTTAAAATACCACGAAACAGACATTAAGAACAGTAATCATAAAAATTTATTTCTTTCAAGTCGATAAACAAAACTGATATTTATTATTTATAATAACACGTAACATCTTTTATGTTAGACACGAAATACAATGTACTGAACAAAGATTTGAATATCAGACAGTGATGAATCAAAGATAAATCAACCAGAATCAAAATGTCATTCATCGTTGATTCTAAAATAAAATTTTTAACAAAAATAAAATCTAATATAGGTGTCTATTCTGAACCAGTTGTTTTTCCAATCTCTATATCAAAGAAATTTTATTAAAATTTGATATAAACATAAAGATATTCGGATAATATTTATTAATATTAACCAATAACGTTGAGAAATTTATGAAACAAGTAAAAATCGTTATCAGTTACAAAGTATTGACCAATCAACTCCATCAATACTAATCATTCGACCTCAAAAAAAAATCTCATTGATTTTAAAAATCGAAAATTTAGAGAAGAAAAAAAAAAAAAAAGAAAACATGATTAATCGATTCATCTCACTGGACGCAGAACCAACCTACCTTGAAAAGGGTATCCAGTGAAATAAGGTGCCATGTTCAAAGTGCTGACTGCCATCTAGCTAATCGGTTTCTCCGGGACAATCACCAAGCCACCACAAAACGTCAATCGTGGTTAAGAAAAGCCGATAAATTTAAAAAAAAAAAAAAAAAAAAAAAAAA